GTGCACGCCGGACTAAAACAAGCCGCAGGCCGCTGTAGGGTGAGCGCGCGCATGACAGGGAAAGAAGGGAAAACGCGCCAAAACGTGCAAGCGAGCAGAGGAAAAAAAACAACAGGGACGCGAAAGGGCCTACAAGCCATACGGCTACAGCATGACGAGCGCATCAACGGCTCGTCGACAGCAAGGACACGGAAGGACACTCTAAAACGGATGGAGAGGCTAGGGGTAGGGGCTGGCCCAATGTCTGTGTGGGTCTGTGTGGTCTCTAATCATTCAAGTGACAGGACCCTAGGTGTCAAGAGGAATTGTCCACAGCGGATTGTGCATGGGACCCCAGACTACAAGCACTGCTACCGACCTGATGGTAGCTGCCTCTCGATCGGTACCGAGTTCGGTAGATGAGTCGGAACAGCGGTAGAAGTGAGCCTCGAAGGTGGCTTGTGACAAGGAGTGGAAGGTCTCCGGTCGTGGATACGGTATTCGCTTGTTGATTATTGCTAACTCAGGGCAAGCAAGGAGAAGAGTCAAGCAGAAGAAGTAGTCAAGGAGAAGAGTGAAGCAGGGGGGCTGAGCAATCCTAGCCTCAAGACGGGGCCCGGCAAACCGGACCTTACTGCTAGTACCTGTTGGGAACAACGCATTCTCCCAAAGGTGCAACTCCTATCAACCGTAACCATGTAACCGTAACATCCCCCCATTAGCATGAACAGCTATTTGTCAGCTGTCACATGCTAATAAACGGTAGCAGGAAATGTGTACACCGCAAAGTGACACTTCCTTTTGGAAGACTACCATGCAATGTCTTTGGAAACCCGAGTTCGATTCTCGGATTGGACACCATAAAACGGATGGAGAGGCTCTAGGGGTAGGGGCTGGCCCAATGTCTGTGTGGGTCCGTGTGGTCTCTATTCAAGTGACAGGACCCTCGGTGTCAAGAGGAATTGTCCATAGCGGATTGTGCATGGGACCCCAGACTACAAGCACTGCTACCGACCTGATGGTAGCTGCCTCTCGATCGGTACCGAGTTCGGTAGATGAGTCGGAACAGCGGTAGAAGTGAGCCTCGAAGGTGGCTTGTGACAAGGAGTGGAAGGTCTCCGGTCGTGGATACGGTATTCGCTTGTTGATTATTGCTAACTCAGGGCAAGCAAGGAGAAGAGTCAAGCAGAAGAAGTAGTCAAGGAGAAGAGTGAAGCAGGGGGGCTGAGCAATCCTAGCCTCAAGACGGGGCCCGGCAAACCGGACCTTACTGCTAGTACCTGTTGGGAACAACGCATTCTCCCAAAGGTGCAACTCCTATCAACCGTAACCATGTAACCGTAACACTTGGGTTAGAACGTCTCGCTTTCCCTCTAGAGAAACATCTTGAAACCTCATTTTCGTGCCCCGTTTACCACGCTGTTGCTGTCTATAATCCCTATCAAATGTCCCCTCGGTATAGGAAGCACCGGGCAACCTAGGGCTTGGGTTAGAACGTCTCGCTTTCCCTCTAGAGAAAGATCTTGAAAAAAACCTCATTTTCGTGCCCCGTTTACCACGCTGTTGCTGTCTATAATCCCTATCAAATGTCCCCTCGATTATCGAGGGGACTAACCCTTGATTATAGACAAGAGACAGACTTGCACCCAGGGATGGAACTGTCTGCACCATCCAATCAGCAGACAGACGTCGTTCGCTCTTTTTCTTACATTTCAGAAACTTCGCTAGAACGCCGAAATTTCTGTGCGTTGTAAGCGAAATATGTAACAGCCTGCCTTAAGGGTACCCGGACAACCTCCTGCTATGTTGCCTTATTTCGAAAACAAACGCAAGAGCGCCAGAAAATGCACTAGAGACACATAAGACCAGTCGGAAGGCATCGCAAAAAAAACAAGTCCAAAATTCTGGCACAGGGCAGCAGTAGAGACCGCTCAAAACGTGCTTTTCGCGCGTCTACCTCCACACGCATCCTTTGAAACCAAGATAAAAATCCACACCAGTCTAAATTCAAGTCAATGAGCCCAAACGGAAGGCGCTCAAATAAGGCCGGTGTTGCTAGGAACCTGGTCCATTGTACCAATATCACTAGAGGACACCCTATAGCAGCGGGGGGGTGTGTTGGCGCGCTCAAAACTTCTTCTGTGGTGGTGGTATCGAGTGTCGTTGTAGTGGCCCACAATCTCCGCAAATCTCCGCAAGTTAGATCGACACCCAGTGTCTTGTACTGCTTGTGCTCGCCGCCACTGAACCCAATCTTCTGAATTGCAGGTTTACAGCAGTAGCTGATGTCACCAGCTACTGCTGACAACCCGCAGTTGAGGGGTTTGCGGTCCGTGGTGGTGAGCACCGCTGTGACAAGTGTTGGGTTCCGCTTGGTTCCGGCGCAGATTTCGGACCGTTTTCAGAGGCTGGCTGCTGCGACCTTCGATATTTCAGCCCCAGTAGTATACCTGAACGTGCCAGCACGCACGACGCCTCTTGATGGTATCCTCTACTGATACTAGCACAACGGACCAGGTTCCTCCGGCGGGAAGGTTGTTTTCTTTCTTTGTACTGGTATAAAGTATGAGAAAAGAGCCAGCGTCAAAATCCCTTGTCTGGGTACCCTTAAGGTTTATTTGGGGCGAGCAACGCCAGGCACACACACGGGGAAAACATGTACATGTAGTATCGCGCCTCGGTGAAGTACACCACACCACCACCACCCTTTTTTTCACAGGCAGGCATGGTGTCCCGTAGAACGTACAGTATTTAATGAAGTACCAAGATTGAACCAAGGGGGTCCACCTCACTCTCTCCGGCCCGTGATGGTGACTCCTGGTCTCAGTGGTTACCTCGCATAGCGCGCAGAGGGAGTGGAGGACTCCAGAATATCTGTCGTTGATTTCTGTTGACATGCGGACCCCTCGGGGCCATTTTATTTGAGTGTACCTTTTTAGGGTAAGTTAGCCTGCGACCACGGGAATCGACCGCGTCGAGTGTGTTGGATCAGTACGGACATACAAAGGTACTGGGTAGAGAGAGCTCCGAACGCTTTTTAATGTGAAGACAACAACAAAACAACAATGAGGGTATCAATCTCTTATGGACACGTCCCCGGTATATTAAGTGAATAGGGGAACAAAAAACGCTCGGCACGGCGTTAGTTTCCAAGTAGGAAGTGTTGCACGCGAGGTCGTGTGCCACCAATAATAATCAATGCACCTTGTGATGAGCGGCCACCGGTGCTCTGTCAACAGCAGCAGCAGCGTTAGTACCAGCTTTCAAAATCGATGGCAAACATCCTTGTGTTTTCCATATTATTAGACTCTTTCGGACTCAAAAATTTTCCGAAAGAAGGAAATATATTTTGATTTAGGCCATTGTGCTGAGGATCGTTCCTGACAGTCTCGCCAAAACCCACGAAAAGGAAAAAATATTCAGATTCAACGGCGGAGGGAGGCTCATTTTGTTGAAAATTGTTGACGATTTTCCGATGATCTAGCAACATCCTTCTATTTAACACATCATCAGGCACCACACCCACGCATACACAGCAGTCCGCGCGGCCTACGAGAAGGCGAGCGCCCAGCGAAAAGGCCCTGGAGTTGACGCGGTACTATCAAGAGGGAGGTTGCACGGTCAGAGAGCCAAGTTGGGCTTGTTTGCGCGGCCTTACTTAGGTCAGCAACACCCGCCCGTCACACGCCTCGTAGTCTAATCCGCTAGTCGCAGAGGTCGTGAGTTCGAATCCCCATGGGGTGAAAAATTACGAAATGTGCGGGTGAAAGCGAAACATAGCAGACAAGCTCTCGTGAGTACCAAACTTTGACGTTAGCAACGTTGACGAGGGAAAGGGACGGCTGGGCTGGACCCTTCCCGCGATAAAAATAGTATTATTCAGCACGCACCGCAGGAGGAAGGTGGGGCACGAAAAGAAACAAAAAGAAGAAAAGAGCCCTGGTGTTTACCCCCTCCTGTGTGACCCTGGATGTGGTTGTAGTTGTACGAAAAAGTACACTGAAAAGTGTAGTACTCTACATACTACGCTGAGAGTGTAGTACACGTCTCACCACGAAAAATGGGGGGACTGTCGCCATAATAAGTACGACGAAAACACACATACACACAAACACACACACACACTCGCGATGTGTTCAAAAGTCATGGGCTACGGATCGACCACAACTTCCACCAGGCAGGGCCAATCGGTTGGGATCTCTGCGACAACGATGATAGTAGTGAGGGTAATTCTTTTGGGAGTGACGAAGACGAAGGAAAGGGAAAGGGAAGGAAGGAGGACGAAGACGACGATGGAGCAGAAAACGTGGAGGAGTGGAAGAGAGCAAAGGGTTTGAGCCAGATGTCCTTCCGCACAACCAAGAGACGTAGGGCTAGGGAAGAACTGCCCAGGGATTCTTCTTGTCAAAATGAGGATCAGAATAATGATGGTAGCGAAAACAAGGAGGATACTGGTGAAAGTACTCCTAAACGAACTCGAGTACTAATACGGTGGCACATAATTAATAGGAGCGAATCAAAAGATATGCATTTCGGAGTGTAACTTTCGCAATACGATGCGCAGCACAGCATATGATAGCGCAAATTGACGACAGGGAAAAGGCGGTCACATGAAAAAAAAAATTAAAAGGTTTCAAATTGCTTGAGTTATGGCGTGTCGTGTACCTGAGCAGAGATTCAAAATCGGAAAAAATGCCCAGCAACATCCGGCCAACACTGGTATCCCCACTTCTCGGCCTGTATCTAACATTTTCAAGCGCCTGTCGGCATACAGCAGTAGCGCAAAACGCTTCCATGACGAAGTCGGTCAATACGCAAGAAGATAAAACATGAATCCAGTTGACGTGTGGCAAGCTGCATCCGGGGTAAAACTTGTCGACATTTGAATATTTTTTACTTTTTTTTTCAAGAACAACTAACTGCAGCAGCTGGAAGAAGGGACGCAAGCCCCCGAGCACAGCAATCACATATCTGTGCTGTTGGAACATGGCACACCCAGTGCATGGGTGTAGCAATTGATCACAAGGCTGAAAAAAACCTCATCATGGTTCAACCTCGTCGCTGCCATCACCCCACTCTGCACTTTCCTGCTGGATCTGCTCCCCTACCCCTTCCTCGACATCAAGGGGTGATTCACCCACGGGCGACACATCATCTGTATCGTACCCGTCCGGCTTTATGAGGCTGCCTATCGTACCAGAAAGCACTCCATCACGGTCCTTGACCCACTTATTCATCTCTCCAATGGCGTGGTCAACCAGCGTCGAACAATTGGCTGCCTTCCACCCCCCTTCCTGGCCTGGTCATTCCTTGTCCCCGTACCAACCTTTACGAATCTGCACCCACNAGATCCTCAGATGGCTCCAGCACTTTCGTGACCACGGGCCGAGAGTCTTTGCTAGATTTTGGCATTCAGCAACTGGCATACGGTTTAATGTGAAGTCAACAACAACAACAACCCACACTCCGGCAACTTTCGCTTCAACTCAAAGTTAAGGCTGGCGTACTGCTTACCATGCTGCCAAAAAAGCTCGATCGGTTGAAAGGACGGCATGTAGGGCGGCGTCCAAATCAACGCCCATCCCTTTTTCCTCATGAACGTCACCACCCGTCCCTCGAGCCTTTCAGGGTGATTGAGGTGGATATATTCCCGAGTGGCCGTTGCTACCCCCGCTCTGCTTACACCGCCCTCCCTGTTCCCTGCAGGGAATGAAG